ACGTAACGTAACGTAACTAACTACTACTTCTTCGTTCTTACGTTACGTTACTTACTTACTTACTACTACGTACTACGTACTACTACTAACGTACTACTACTACTACTACTCTCTCTCTCTCTCTCTCTCTCTCTCTCTCTCTCTCTCTCTCTCTCTCTCTCTCCTCCTATTGTGGAGAGCTCAATGAAAAGGTTAAAACATTTGAATCTCTCTCTCTCTTGAAAATTGAAACTGGTATTTTCTCAATTAACAAAGAAAGACTGAGGCTCTCTCTCTCTCTGTAAAGTTGATCAAATAGAGCGATAGTGCAATTTTCTCTCTCTCTAATTATAAAATTTTAAACTTTAAGAAACGATTCAACTCAAGTAGATCTATAAACATGTAAACTTTTTAAAATGGGTGGTCCAGAAAATGTATCTTATAATGCACTAGTTTTTAGTCTCAAATTTTTTTTTGTTTTTTTTTCATATTCATATATCTTGATATTGATACGATCAATTAGAGAGTTTTTCTATATTAAACTGGCCTTTTCAGTGGATTTTGAGAGTGCACTTTAATTCTACATTTTAAAGTTGCAACCTTATATAAACTTTTTGCTCCGTGTATTGACTATTAAAAAAAATGTATAGGGTGGCAATCTTATTTCTAGAAATAAGATTGCTATGTTTTATACATTCTATTTTAACCGGACCGTATAGATTTAATATGACTTTTAAAACAATATAAAAAAGCGGAATGTCTTTTAAAATAATATCAAATCCATGGAAGTCCAAATAAAATAGACCATACATATTATTGCAAACTTAGTTTGCAACCTTGTATAAAAATTTTCCTCTTCTAAATGGCAAGAGATTTTAGACTCCTACAGCAGCATTTCATTCAACCAAAAAAAAAAAGCACTTTATCTATGTCTAGAAAACAACTTCCAAAGAGTTTCCTAAGATTGAATAGAGACTGCTTAATTGTTTAATTATTAGATCTAAGTGCTTAATAACTCAAAATCCAATCCTTTTCCTTTTCAAAAGTAGTCATATGATGTTACTTGGGTGAATCTCAAAATTTCAGATTAAAAAAAAAGAAAAAAGCCCTTTCCCAAAGAGAGTAAGTACACAGTGTTCCTCTTGAGGAAAGCACAGTACATGTGGTCTCAAGAAGAGTTTTTTAGGACTGCCCTCTAAAGACAGGTAAAGATAAAGCTCTATATGGCTCTCAGGAGCTCCAGATGGCCTTAAAGGGCTTTGCCATAGAGAGAGAGAGAGAGAGAGTGAGGGATTCGAAGAAAGACCTTCATCTTCAAAACCCTGGTATTGGCGGCATTTTTCCGATAAATGGAGTCACATTTATAAAACTATGCCACCGATTCATCTGCACCTATATGGGAATTCTATTCCCATCTCTCTCTCTCTGAAGACTAAATCCCTCTCTCTCTCTCTCTCTTGCTCTAAACACTGAATCTCTCTCTCTCTCTTGCTCTAAACACTGAATCCCTCTCTCTCTTTCTCTCAGTTCTGGCATTTTACACGACAGTAACTCTTCAACTTTGTGTGTACATATGTGCAGGAAGGGGGGGAGAGAGAGTTCTATCCTCAGGGTTTGTGCACCACGCATAGAAGGGGCCATGGACACCCTGCCAGAGGATTCATTCACCTGGAGGAAGTACGGGCAAAAAGAAATCCTCAATTCCAAATTCCCCAAGTAATCTTTCCTCCCTTCTCTCTCTCTCTCTCTCTCTTTCTCTCTCGCTCTCTCTCTCTTCGCTCTCCTCCTCCTCCTCCTTTCAAAATTCAAATAAATGTGACCGTTGCATTTTCCCGCCATAAAACAAACACACTTTTTAACTTATGCCAAAAGATATTCTACTCTCTTTGGAGTATATTGTTCAGTTTCTCCCTTGGGTAGGACCCCACCTAGTATTAATTTTTGCACTTCAAATATTGGGGATATGACCTCTTTAACCCATAGACTTATCTCAATAAAAATTAAAATCCTAATTGCTAACTCCATGAATTTGAAAAAAAATAATACCTCAATATTGAATAGAGAGCGTCTAATTTTTAGAGGGTGAGATCTGAGCATTAGAAAAAAAACTCAAATGCCAATTTTTTCTTTGAGAATAATCATCAAGTGATTCTTAAGTAGTTCCCAAATTTTCAAATTGAAAAAATCTCCTAAGTAGGTCTTGTGAATGGGGAGTAAATTTAAACTTTGCTCTTGCAGGAATGTGGTATATGTGCTTATTACCTTTTCAACGTCTATATTTAGAACTAGGGAAAATATAAAACTAGAAAGGGTTGAAACCCTTAACAATAAGACTAAAAGGGTCAAAAGAGTGCAAATTATACTTGAGGGTGTATTTAAAATTTCTATACCAATCACGTACATCCTCAATAAAAATGTAGAAATTTTTTCTAAATTGCTCTTATTCGGTGTTGGGAAATACAAACAGTTATAAGTACTTCAATTAGTTTATCCCAAAGAGGTCTTAACTGAAGCATAATTAGAGATAAAATTACCAAAGTACCGTTATTATTCTTGGTTTCTAATACCGAATATACTAATACAAGAATTTTTTTAAAATATTTCGAGATGTACCTGATTGATATACAAATTTAAAAACATATCCTTTAGGTGTAATTTAGTAATATTTTAAGGGGTTTCAACCCTTTTTTTTATATTTTCCCCTTTTAACTATCTATAGAATAATTGAAAATAAAATATGTGGTTTTCATCATGAGTAAATTTTTGGGGTAATCAAATAGGCCATCCACAGTAGATCTTATCAATGGACAGTGTGGTGACCCGTTGTCCCAGTTTTGGGTCCTGTTAGAGAATGGCAAATGACCTCCCTCCACACATAGTTGGAACATGGATGGTCGATGGTTACCCAGAGCACCTTTGCACCAATTGAGGGCACAATATTTGCTCAGCGAATACTAAAAATATTCTTATTTGTCAAAAAAAAATTACTGAAAATATTCTATACTTGAAGCTACCATCGATAAATAGTTATGGACGGTGGAGATTGTTGGTAGTGTGAGTGGCTATAGGGCATTAAACGTGTCATATTTTTCTCTTTTTATCTTCATCGGACATTGTCTTTATCAATAAAAAATGATATTCATCAATAAAAAAGGGTCTTCTTATAGAGAGAAGATAGAAAATAACTACCTACCTCCCTGGATTAGAAGGCTACGTTCCTCAAAAATTCCAAAAGAAAGCTGAATGTTGGAGAACCGCTTCCTCCCATCCTTATGGAGAGATGCACAATAAAAACATAAATTTCTTATTGTTTTGGTATAACCTGATCTCTGCGATCCACCGTCTTATGACATTACCATTAATCTTGAAAATTAGGTATTATTTTCATCACCTTCTCATCAATAGTCCAATAGAGATGAGTTGTGCTGTAATGGTACCTTGTAATTTAGAGGGGAAATTCAGAGCCGCCGCCTCGTGATAAATATGGACAGTCGATGGGTATGGTTATCCTATTATGGCTTATAGTAAATGGTCCCAAATGAAAATCAATTCTATTTGATATATATCTAATTACTAAAATACCCTTAGACTTATTGTATATTAAGAGATAAAGTGCTCTCTGAATACCACTTATTTGAACGTTTTTTACAACATTGTCCCAATATCATGAATATCTCGAAACTATAAGCAAAATATGATCTATATAATGTTTACCAAAAGGCAGATTAGCCGCGAAAGCTGTTTTGCTAATCAGGGTTAAAATGGTAATCATTTACCTCGTGGAAGATTCATAATTTGATACATTTGGTTGCATTTTAATTAGTCAATGTTTGAAGTAATTGAAAAGGATACGATGTGACCATGCCATCTATCAAGGTTTTGCAAAAAAGTTTTTCTCTGATAGGGCTGGCAACGTGTTGGATCGGGTCCGGTTCTGGTCGGACCCGGACCTGGACCCAAAAAATGATATAGGACCCGGACCTAGATTAGGACCCAACCAGACCCGAATTTACCAAATAAGGACCCGGCCAAGAAAATATAGTGTGGGACCCGGACCCGGATCCCATTAAAAAATTAAAACATTTATGTATATAATTATATTTAAATATCTTTTATATATTGGGATCCAAAAAATATTACCAGTTTCGGACCTGGACCCATCAGACCTAAATAGTGTTTAGATTAGATTTGGAACTGGGCCTGTCCCGCCTGGTCCAATTTTTTAACTTACATTTGGATGTGGGCCCGTCCTGCTTCGGGCCTTGGTCTGGGTCTGCGTCTATTACTTCCCCTCTCTCTCCCTCTCTCTCTCTATCTACTATACACATGAAAATCTTGAAAATAAATGATCCAGGTAATTGTTACAAGATATATTATTTTTAGAATTTCAAATTATTTTCCTTCTCATATTTATACATATGGAAATTGAGATGTTCAATTTGAACAAATTTCCAACATTGGAACATTCTCTAGAGGATTTATTAGATGCACCTTACCTCAATAGCACAAGGCTAATATTTTATACAAACTTTTTCCTATATATTAGCAATCCCATATAATATTGGTTACTGACTAGGCTTTTTCTGTAAAACTTTAGTTTGTTACCCTCTTTTATCATTGGCAAATGAATCAAATGTTAGTTTTACTGAAGCATGTTTATCTATTTCAACCTCATATTAATCTTACCACATATGTCAAATGCTTCAATATTAAAGTGATCCAATATTCATATCTACAAATAGCAATCTTTTTGGCCTTAGAGATTCTATTTCTAGCAAGAAGGTTTTGTTCTTGTTTCTAGTCACTTTAGGGCCAATAAGCAACTCAATGTTTCTTTGCCCCACCATGCCAATTTTGACTAAATTCCTGCACAACTGAACCAATATAAGCTTTTCTAGTAAAAGGCTCACAAGAAGAGGACAATGAGAAATATATTAAAAGTACTGCTCATATATGTATCCTTATATTCTTAACCTTAGGGATGTAAACGGATCGAGTTGATAACAAGTCAGACCTGACCTGGTAGGGTCTAGAGCAGTGTACGAATAATCGAACCGGCATCAGAAACCGGCCAAGGCCAGGCTCAATTAACTGGTAAATGAGCAAGTTCAACTGGCCTAATCGGGCAAGTCCCAACCGGTCTAAAAAGTGTAAAACAAAACAAAACAGAAAAATATATGAAATGTATATTTAAGGTATGATTAAACAAATCACATCCAAATGAAGTTGAAAATTAGTAAAAAATAAAGTTGAAAATTAGTGAAAAAATAGTTTTTTAAAAGTTGATTTGTGACCAAGGATATTTTTGAAAAATTTCAAATATATCGGATAATATAAAAATAAGTATTCATGGCCAAAACACTTTCTAATAGTTGCCAAAATGATAAAAATCCCTAAAAAATACATTATAAACAATTCCTTTTTTTTTTTTGGATTTTTTTTGGATTTTTTAAAAATATCCGGTCGAACCACCAAAATTGTCCAAAACCGAATCTGCCAGTGCTAGATTCCAATTTGATGGGCCGGTTTCGAGTTGGATTGGCCGAGTTTGAGAACACTGGTCTAGACCCAAACTCGACCCACTGGGTCATGGACCCAGCGTTGGTGGGCTTGCCAAGTCCACCCTATTTATACATCATTATAACTCAGTTGAGTTTGAGTTATTTCAAGCCAGACCTAAACTCCGACCCGACCCAATTAGGCCTAGATTGAAGTTGGACCCAACGCGGTCCAACTTCCAAATGCAGACCCAAAATCGGGTATGTCGACCCCTCTAAACTTTATGCAATTCCCTATTAACCATCCATCAGGCAGTGTTGGAGTGATGCAAAGCAATCCTTAATCAGAGTAGGGGTGGCAATGAACTTGGACCCAACCCAAGACCCGAGGGGTACACCCGATCTGCGTCCGGGTATGGGTTTAAATACATAGATATTTCAATTTTAGAGTCGGGATCGGTTGAGTTTGGGTCCGGGTCCAAGTCCCACACTGTACTTTCGGGTCCTGGTCCAAGTCCATGTAATTCGAGGGTCCAGGTCTAGGTCCGGCCAGATCCGGACCCAACCCAACCCAACCCGTTGCCACCCGTAAATCACAGCTACTTGTAATCCTTAATGGATGCAGAGATGCAATTGCACACATAGGTTTTATCACTTTATGTGTAGCCGGCCCATAATATTTGGTCTTTTGCAAACAGGATGGGCTCAGAAGTATAACATTAGCTTTTTCCCTCATAAGTAGTTGCACTTTGGGCAATGTGTTACATGTGTGAAAATAAATCACATATGTGGGAGTTTTATTTAACTTTTCTCTTTTTTATTTTGGGACAATTTGATTGCATTTAATCTAATGGTTGTGGTATTGTAGGAACTTTACTCTTTTAAAGAAATTAAAACCTTTTTGTTTAGAGAGAGAAAGAGTGAGAAAAAGATAAAGAGATTTGGCTGTAATTCGATTTTCTCTTGAGGGCCTAGTATGCTCTGTTTTAGATAGAGAAAGTGAGCAAAATGTTTGAACTTTATCGTGGGTTTGATATGTGTTCTGTTTTAATGAGGAAAAATGTTAAAGACAACGTATTTTTAAGTGTTCTTGATACTTTGTTTTTTGGCTCTGTTTAGAGTTAGAAAGGGCTGCTGAAAATTGATATTTTGAGCTCGATTTCACTTTGTAATATTTCCAAATCAATAAGTAAAGTCTTGCGTCATTCTACCATGGATGTAGGTCACGATTTTTTATCAAACCACTTTAAATCTTTGTGCTCTGTGGATGAAATATTGTTAGATTTTTCATTCCATGTTCTTGCTTTGATATTGTGTAGTTTTCATTACTTGTTTATATTGATATAAATGCACAATAGCTGCAAATATTATAAACCCTTGTTCTTTAGTGTGTTTGTGAAGAAATGAGTTTTTTGCTATTGTGGTTATTTGCTGTATTTTTTTCTTGAAAATGGAAAGGACAATGGAATTTGAAAAATTAAATCAAAGTAATTGGCCAATATGAAAAATGATGATAGAAAATTATCTTGTTGAAAAATAATTGGATCGCCCACTTCGAGGTAAGGAGGCCATGCCTATTAGAATGGAAGATTGGGAATGTGATGTTTTTGATCGAAAATAATAGCTATTAGGCCATGTATTTCACATATTTGATGTTTGTCGATGTAAATCATCTACAGAGCTTTAGCAATATTTAGAGCCATCTTTTGAGCAACCCTCTGGTGCAAATAAAATGCATGTGATGAAAAAATTATTTCTTTTCAAAATGAAAGAAGGTGCTACAATAATGTCATATGTGAGTGAATTAAATTCAATTTATACACAATTGGGTAATATAATGGGTAACAAGTTTAATTTAAAAGATGTTGTAGCTTCATTGTTAAATGAAGAGATTAGAAAGACATTCACACAAATACTTGCCGAATCAAATCAAACATTGACAGTAGGAGATAAATGAAGAACATAACATAGAGACCAACCCTATGGATTTAATAGGAGCAAATCTCATAGTAAAGGCAGATCCAAGTCATAGGGCAAGAAGGTTATTTGCTGGCATTGCAAGAAACTTGGTCAAACAATAGCATATTATTATGCTTTAAAGAATAACAAAATGCCAAGGACAAAGATAGTCATTCCGAAGCAAGTACAGTTTCAGATGGTGAAGATGGGGTTACTTTTAGTGTTGCACTCACAACATTGTCTATTGCATATACTTGGGTTTTAGACTCTGGTGCTTCATTTCATATTTGCCTAGAAATGTCATATTTTTCATCCTACATTGATGGGGATGGTGACTTGGTTTACCTTGGTGATGATCGAGTTTGCAAAATCTTGGGCATTTGAAATATTGTTATCAACCAATCAGTTGGAAAGAAACACACATTGATAAATATAAGTCATGTTCTTAAGTTGAAGAAAAATCTTATTTCAGCCTGGCAGTTAGATGACTCTGGTTTCATAGTGACTTTTGGGAATGGGTCCTAGAATATTTCAATATGTTGTATTGAAAGGGCAAAAAAATGGGAGTCTTTGCACTCTTCATGGCACAACTCAAAGGAATGATGCTACAAAGAATATCATTGTTACAGCTAGTACACATGAGGATATACAGATTTTGCATAGCCGTTTGAGTCATCTCAGTGAGCATGATATGAAGGTATTGCAAAATCAAAATCTTATTCATATTTCTAAGCATTCATTTCTTGATTTTTGTGATCATTGTGTCATGGGTAAGCGGAGTTAGTTTTAAAAGAAATGAATCTCATAGAAAAAGTAAAGCATTATAATTGATTTATTCTGATGTTTGTGGCCTTGTTAATATTAAATTTCTTAGTGGAGCTTCTTATTTTGTTACTTTTTTATATGATTATTCTAGAAAGTGGTGGTTGTATCCATTACTATCTAAGAATCAAGTTTTTTAGTATTCAAGATTTTCAAAGCCAAGGTTGAAAAAGAAATACATAGATTTATAAAATGCTTGCAAACTAATAATGGTGGTGAATATTGCTCAAATGTTTTTGATACTTTATGTAAAGAAAATGACATTCGCAGAGTAAGGATTGTTCTTAAGACACCACAATGAAATAATGTCATTGAGATGATGAAGAAGACCATCATTGAAAGAGTAAAAAGCATGCAATCACAATCTGATATTGGTAAGCAATTTTGGGTAGAAGCTACTAGTATATTTGATTAATAGATCTCCTAGTGCACCCTTGAATGGTGAAATACCTACGACTTTATGGAGAGGTAAAAATGTGTGTTATGAACACTTGAAAACATTTGGGTGTAAAGCTTATGTTCAAGTGCTTAGTGAAAGTAGAGCCAAGCTAGATGCCAAGTCAAAAAAGATGTGTTTTTCTTGGGTATGGTGGTAATATAATGTGTAGAAGACTTTCGACGTTGGAGGAGAAGTAACCTCGGGTGGATGGAGAGTAGTGCATTGGTGATTATTTTAAAAACTTTGTGATTTGTCTTCAAGTGAGAGATTGTTACATGTGTGAAACAAATCACACATATGGAAGTTTTATTTAATGTTTCTCCCTTTTATTTTGAGTCATTGGATTGCATCTAATCCAATGGTTGTGGTGTTGTAGGAACTTTACTCTTTTAAATGGATTAAAACCCTTTTGTTTAGAGAAACAAAGAGTGAGAAAAAGATTTAGAGATTAAGTTGCAATTGGGTTTTTTCTTGAGGGCTTAGTATGCTCTGTGTTAGAGAGAAAAAGTGAGCAAAAGGCTTGAACTTCATTGTAGGTTTTCTGTGTGCCCTGTTTTAGTGTGAGAAAGTATTAAAGATAACCCATTTTTTGGCATTTTTGGTGTCTTGTTTTTGGCTATTTTTACAGTGATAAAGGGATGTGAGCCCGATTTCACTTTGTAATCTTTCGTGTCATTCTCCTGTAGATGTAGGTCACGATTTGTGATCGAACCATGTTAAATCATTGTGCTCTGTCAATTGAATGTTGCTAAATTTTTCATTCAATATTCTTGCTTTGATGTTGTTTAGTTTTCAATGTTTGTTTATATTGATATGAATACACAATAGTTGTAAATGTTATAAACCCTTTCTAATTTTTCAACCATCGATCCGAACACAATGTCACTCTTCAATATCTCACATAAATTCCCTGAATTCATTATGCAGCATGACTATGGTCATATGTTTCTTTTGAATGTTTTAATGCAGGAGCTATTATAGGTGTGCCCACAGGACCACAGGATGTGAGGCCAAGAAATATGTCCAAAGACTGGACAATGATCCACAGATAATTGAAGTCACTTATTTGGGGCGTCATATTTGCCAGGCTTCAAGGCCTGAATTCCAAGCAGAAATGAGAGCTAAATTTGAAGGAACCATCCATAATTCAGAGAAAGTAGAGGAAATCCCCACTGCCTCTGTGGCTAAATCCTCAGAAACTTTAATGACTACTGGTTTTAAGAGTGGGAAAATGGAGACTAGAGAAGGCTCAGAGTCCCCTATATTGGACTACACAGATGTGATGTTTACTGGTCCAAGTGGTGGCATCAATATGGATTCCATTTTCTCTTGCTCTCCAAAGCACGAGGATTGAATTAGTGAAAAAAGCACAAACCCCATTCACACTATGGAGTCCATTTTGGAAAAGGAGAGGTCTATTTTAAATTTTTTATTTTATTTTTATGCTTTTAGTTATTTTGGGAGCTCAAACCCCATTCACATTGATAGATGATGACAAGCCAAGAGAGCTATAGAGCTTTTCCTTTTAATAAGTCGAGTGTATTTTTCTCTTTTGGTGGATTAGAATTGCTTTTTTGACTTGGAATTTTGTGAGGTGCATAGAGATAATTGCTTTTGGGTGGGGGCACGTATGATACTTTTACCATAGGAAAAGAGCTTTCATGGCAGGTTTTGGTGGGCCTGATGAAGGTAACAGATGCTATTTCTCTCTTTCGGAGGGGCTGAGGAGTCATTAACTCTCTCACTCTATCTCCTTTAAAAGGGAGAGCATGTTAACAACTCATTTTTTTAGTCTCTCTTTCCTTTTTTTTTTTTTTTTTTTAAAGGGTGCAGTCGGCACATGGATGCATCCGTAGGTGTAGGGGTAAGGTGCGCCTTCAAATTTTATCAGAATATGTAATTTTGATGTAAAATGTTCTTAGGATTATCTCAAAATCTATTTTTATATCTAATTATAAAATTTTAAATTTCAAGAATGGTTAAAGTCAAATAGATCTATAAACATATGAAAATCTTGAAAATGAATGGTGTATATAATATGTTGCAAAATGCATTATTTTTTAGACGTAAAATCTTTTTATTTTTCATGGCCATACAACTCGATGTCGAGATGATCAATCAAATGGTTTTTCAATATTAAAACTACATTTTCCGATGGAATTTTGAGGTGCATCCATGATTCTACATTACCAGGTTGCATCCTTATATAAACTTTTTCCTTCTTTAAAAGAGAGCAGTCTCTCTCTCTCAAAGGGAAAAAATGTTACCATTCAGTTTTTCAAGTCTCTCTCACTCTAAAAGGGACAGCATGGTCACTCACTCTTTTTCTCTCTAAAAAAGACAAAACGGTCTCTCTTTCCCCACACACATACACATACACATACACACACCTTTTTTCTTGGGTTTAGTTTGTATAGAGCCTAGGCTTAAACAATCAAATTAGAGGTTGCCTTCAAATAGTATCGAGAAATATGGTTTTAATATCGGAAATCTTTTTGATAGCCTTAAAATATATTTTTATCTTTATTTGTAAAGTTTAAAGTTTCAAAAATAATGTAGATCGAGAGATTTATAAAAACTTAAAAATCTTGAAATTTGAAGGTCTAAAACTGTGATACAAAATACACTATTTCCAAAACTTAAAATCCATCTTTTTATTATGTCCATGCATCTTGATATCGAGATGATGAATTTGAGGATATTTGGGCATCAAAACAAAATCTTCTAGTGAAATTTTTGAAGTAGGCTCGAATTTGATTGTTTAGAGCCTCAGCAATATATAAACTTTTTCCTTCTTTAAAGGGTGCGTTGTATAGAGCCTAGGCTCTAAACAATCAGATTATAGACTATCTTCAAATAGTATCGAGAAATATAGTTTCATTATTAGGAATCTTTGTGACAACCTTAAAATATATTTTTATATTTATTTATAAAATTTAAAGCTTCAAAAATAGTGTAGATCGATAGATCTATGAAAACTTGAGAATCTTGAAAATCGATGGTCCAAAATTGTATTATAAAATACACTATTTCCAAAACTTGAAGTCTATTTTTTTCTTATATCCATGCATCTTGATGTCGAGATGATCAATTTGAAGATATTTGAGCATCAAAGCAATCTCTTCTACTGAAATTTTTGAGGTAAGCTCAAATTTGAAACTTTTCCCTTCTTTAAAAAGGACATCATGTTAACTCTCTCTCTCTCTCAGGTTTAATGAGAGTGCCAGATATTATTAAGTAATGGCTTCTCTTTTTCGATCCCTTAGTGATCCTATAGACAAAAGATAAGAGAAACAAAATGTGATGTGTGCAAACTCGACGGCATGGAGAAAGTTTCATCTACAGAATAAGTAAATAATAAGCATATGAATAAAAACGAAATCCATTTTAAAAAATACATGTCTTTCGCATCCAACTAATAAATAAATAGAGTAATAATCCTATAGAACCCTCCCTCACCCTTTCGCATCCAATTAATAAATAAATAGAGTAATAATCCTATAGGACCCTCCTTCACTCATATGTGTAAGACACCAAACGTTCACCAATAAAGTTGACATGGATCTTTAAATAAATTATCACATGGATGTGGGACTTTATTTTTTCAAATCCGTGCCAAATTTAATGACGATCATTTAAAGTCCTACACACATGGATGGAAGAATATCCTATAGGATCATTTCTCAAATAATAAATAAGTAAACTTCTATTTTTTAGTGAATGGCAGTTCCAAATAAAGATTAAGTAATTGCAGTGGTGGCTATGCACAAGACCCCCCTTTCCTGTCAACGGAAGTGCTTATATCATTAAGTAATTGAATTCTTAGATTGGCATGGTACGCATGGGGTGCTTTTGAAATTTAATGTTCCCAACTTTGATCTCAACAGGGCCCATTCTTTCTAGATTGAGGATCTACCATGATTTCAGTGGGTGGCACAAACATCATCTATATGTCAAAAGAAAATGGAAAAACACGAGATCCCATTCATGGAAAAAAACCTACTTTTAGAATCAAAACCCTATTCTTATGTGAATCAAAACTCATGTTTCATTCACAAAGTTCTCAACAAACTCTGTTTTCTACAAAAGTACCAACATGTACATTATTACACCAGAATATTGGCTCTTGTACAGGGGCAGAGGAACCTCCAAGAGATTAAAACTCTCTCTCTCTCTCTCCT